GAAATGTGAAGTGCAGATCTTAAAAAGGTCTTTAAAGGTCTTAAAGTGGAAGTGAAGCAGTCAGTTAAGTTAACATTTAGTAAAGTGATTTCCACTTTGATTAAAAAATATATAACAAACATGATTAATGTAACCATTTTAAAGAAAAAAGGTTGTTTTAATTAATTGATAATAATTGTTTAAATTAATATAATAATTGATACTTTTGACTCATCCCTTTTCTTAAAAATTGTTTAAAGGCTGAAATGTGAAGTGCAGATATTAAAAAGGTCTTTAAAGGTCTTAAATTAGATTTTTAAAATCCTGCAGATACCAGGTTATTTTATGGTACCATTTGGAATAACTTTTTTTTTTAAATTAAGCCCTTTTTAACGGTCCTTTTAGGTTGTTTTGAGAATGTTCTGTAGGCTACTAATAAAAAAAGGACCTCTGTATATTTGTTTGTTGCAAATTTACAGACAATGCAATTGGAATGTTTACATTGGCTTGTGGGGGTAATATTTCTGTCCACTGACAACATTCATTCATATCTGGATACAAGTTTTATACTTAATAAAATCTTTAAAAACAAATGACATTAGTTATACTTTCATTTCCTTCAATAAAAAGGAAATTGAGTAAGACGGTGTAAAAGGTGTGTGGACGTGGATTAGTAATCTGGCCCCTTGGTATAAAGGAGAAAAAATGCTGGCCCTCATCACTATCAAAGTTGCCCATCCCTGATCTAGATAGTGTAGAGTTCTCTGACATTAATTGCTTTAAGAATTTTTTAAAAATTGTGATCACAAAATCATTTTATTTCTTTACTCGGGACTTGTTGTCATTATATTCTATTATATTATTCTATTCTATTCTATTTTGTTTAGTGAATACTATTAATGACTGTAGTATTATTTATCAGTTTATTTAATTATTTTTAATTGCAAAGTGTATGAGACCTAACTGCACTGTGGTTTTTATTAGTCAATGGCTATAATGTATTTGTGAACAGTTTCTTTGCTTTTGAATGTTCTTTATATCCAGTTTTTGTTGAACTCTTGTAATTGGATGAGTAATGTAGGATCTCTGTTTGTGTGTGTGTGTGTGTGTGTGTGTGTTTTCTTAGGTACATGACGGATGGGGGATTGAGTCCGTATACACGGCGATTGAACCGTTTGCCGGATGGAATGGCAGTGGTACGGGAAAGTCTGCAGCGTAACGCCTCCACCGGCCAGGGAGACGCCGACAGGTACCTAAAACCTCTTGCTCTTCACCCTGATCATCATCAAATCTTGCATTCTATACATACACAAAATGTGGATTCACTCCTGCATTTAAGGTATGCTAATAATATCAGCTTCTGTTTTGTCTGAATATAGCTGCATTGGTGTTATAGGCTGCTGTAGGTGTATGTTAAGTTCAGTGGGGGAAATCCTGTATGGAGGTGGCTCTGGTTGATGATGGCACGCTCCATTACAGAAAAGAAAAAATAGGTCTTCTATTGGGTTGAGCTTGCACACTCCACTAGCTTTCAAAAGAAAGAAAACAGCTGAAATGATGGCTTTTCACCACAACCCTCTCTGTTGCAGATCTAAGTTGTAGGTTGTGGGTGTAACCCTACAGAGTGGCTACGACTGCCCCTCTTAAACGATCATATTTAATTAGCATGTGTATTTATGTGTGTTTGAGTCATTTAGCTGGCAGAGGGACCGATGTGTGCGTGAGCCAGATGAGATGCCACTCATTCAGATATTACATCACCACATTTAGTCCTTCAGCTGGAGGGAAAAGTAAGGTTTAGACTGTGGAAAATATTGGAAGATTGTGTGTTTTAATGCTGCCCATATTTCATATCTGGATAGATTTTAAGGTCTAGATTAAATCATATTTACCCCCTCACTAAAGTGTGTCTTGTTAGGACTTGACCACAGGACGAGCACATGGGGGAATTCCTCTCTATCTTTATAGTCCCGTCCCCTTGTTTTCTCCCTGTCCCCCTCAGACTCCGCACATCAGAGGAAATGAACAGCACAGTGATGAAATTATATAATATGGGTGTTTCATGCACCATAAAAAGCCTCCCTCTATTTTGGACGGTTCCCCTCCTCCTTTTCTGAGAACAAGTCCCCTCCACTGCGCTGAGGATGTTGTAGTTAACCTCCAGCCTCTAAACATCTACCACTGTCTCTGCTGCCCTGAAACTCATCCATTACATTCTCTCTCTTTGTTTCTCTCTTTAGACCAGATTGATCTGTTATCTTCCCCTTTTGTTCTGCAACCCGATCATCCTTCCTTCGTTCCAACACCCTTTTACCACACACCACATTAGTGCGTTTGCTTCCGTTGCTCAGTCCAGAGCAGACAGTTTAATCATGAGAGCTTCTTTATGAATGCAATATCAGAAGTTCTTGTTTTTCCCAATCTATAATATTGGAAAGGCAGCTTTTATATGGCACAAATGATTTGGATGTTAAAGCAATCAGGGCCCATTTTGCCTTGAGTTAGAGTATGTAAGGCGGCATTTTCTACACATTTGTAGCACGTAATTTTTTTTTTCCTCTTGTAATGCTAATCACGATTGATTGCACCAAACATTTAGTAATGTAGTTTTTCATTACCTTTTTACATACTCTCTCACACCCTTAAAGTTAGGGTGTTTTTGATATTAAACTGAACAAAATTATAAACGCAACACTTTTGTTTTTGCTTATATCTTTGAGTTCAGCTCATGAAAAATGGGGGCAAAAACAAAAGTGTTGCGTTTATAATTTTGTTCAGTGTATAAAGGGATAGTTCATCCAAAAATCAAAGTCTGTCATCATTTACTCACCCTATTGTTGTTCCAAGCATTACATAAATGTTTGTTTGTTTGTTTATGTATGTATGTATGTCCATGAAAGTCAAGGGGATCCAGTATTGTTTTGGACCCAACTGGCTTTAATTGTATAGACAAAAACAGTTCAAACATTCTTCAAAATACCATCTTTTGATATCGAAAGTCATACAAGAGTGAACATTTTTGGTGATAAAATATAAAACAAAAATTAGAACATGAAAATCAGAAATGTTTAAGTACTAAAACTAAAACTGAAATAAAAAACAATTAAAGGTATAGAGAATTGGTCTTTAAAAAAAAAAAAAAAAAAAAAGAAGCTAATAAAATGAAAAAGAAAAATTTCTAAAACTAAAATTAAAATTAAAACCAAAAATGCAAAAATAAAAGCTATATATAATAGCTATATATAAAAAATACTATATTAGTATATAAATAATACTGGCGTATTTAGGTTGGTACCCCAGTGTGAGTAAAAATCTGTTTTCCAGTTATATGGCATCATATGGAATATGATATGAAATATTACCATCAGTTAATCAGATGAGTAATTTCTCTCTTTTGTTTGTTGTATTATTGGAAGAGACCACATGATACTCTTTACGATGAGATGATATTATTTACAGCTCATATAATTAACCATGAATCATTACCTTGTTTTCTAGTGTCCTAATGAGAGGAGAACATTTCAAAAGTCCCTGGGGTGTCCTGCTTTAAATAACACTTCTTCTGGCAGGCGTGTAGAGAGATAGCATGAGAGAGGCTCTGGGAACGACACAGCCGTGTTTCTCCACCATGTGTTTGAGTGTAAGAGGTTTAAGGTCAAAGCACTTCAAATGACTCCGGACAGGCATTCAAACAGCAGTGACCAGCCAAAGACCCTCAGCCAGCTTTCAACTGTAGTGCACACTTCTCAGGCTGGAGTGAAGGACAGAGAGAGTTGATATAAAGAGGCAAAGGTAGCTTACATTTTCCTGAGCTGGTGCAGTGGATCACTGATAGGGAACTGTGTGAGTGTGATCATCTTGTGTGATGTTGTAGGATCCTCTTCCCTCCAACCGTCAGTCTGATCTGTCTACAGCACACCTGTGCAGCCATAACACACCTGGGTATAAGGGCCTCCCATCTCTATCATCTGTATGTGGGTGTCCTGGACTGTTTTCAGTATTTATGGGCCTCTCATATATTGGTGATGCGCTGAGAAAAGAGTTTAAAAACAGTTACACCAGTTGGAAGTTTAGACAAAAGACAAAAAAAAACAAACAGTTTAGACAAAAAAAATAGTTTTTTCCCATTTTAGAATCATATAAAAATGGAAGTATGAACTTATAACTGTTTTATCATTATTATTATTAACATTTTGTTTTGTAAGAATTGTTTTTAGATACACTTTGTAGGTTTTTAGCATCATAAGGAATATATTCAGTTATTTGCTAGTGTACATAAACAATGTATAGTTTGTAAAAATGAAATGTTAGAGTAGGTTACAATTTGTTTCCATTTGTGCTGGACCTCCTTGATTTTTACTGTTTTGAAAAGATTGTACCAGTACACAGACGTTTGGGCTCAGCAAGGATGCCTTAAATTGATCAAAAGTGAAAGTGAAGACTTTTACTTTGTTACAAAATATTTATATTTCAAATAAATGTTTTTCTTTTGAACTTTCTATTTATCAAAGAATTCTGAAAAAAAATGAATCACGCTTTCTACATAAAATATTAAGCAACTGTCTTCAACAATAATATAATAGTTTTATAGTCATAGTTTTCAACAATGATAATAATTTATTGAGCACTAAATCGGCATATTATAAGGATTTCTGAAGGATCATGTGACACTGAAGAATGAAGTAATGGTAAAATTAAATAAAAAAATATATTATAATAGAAAATAATAAAATAAAATAATATTTAAATAAAGTCAAATAAATATTTGTAGATCTTTTTTCACTATTGATACCGTTTTTACTGTATTTCTGATCAAATAACTGCACCTTTGCATTCAAAATCATAAAAAAAATCGGTAACACTTTCTATGAAGCCCGTATTTATAATACATTATAAGGGTATTCTTAAGGCATTATAATGAATGCATAATGCATTATAAAAAAACGTATAATATGTTATACCAACTCAACTCATATCAACTCAACTTATATCAACTCATGAATAATCATAACAACAGTTATAATACATCATAATACTTACGTATTTGTGGTTATAAGTTTAAGAGTATGATTGTTTATAACACACAATGAACACCATATTAAATCTACTTCATTTACAGAATAATGGACTGTATGATATCTTGACATTGTTTATTTAAGATCTACACAGTATCTTATTACAACTTGTGAGTGGTTAGATGTTGAGTGTTTCCTGTGGAGCTAATGTTAATTAATTGATGTGAGCTTTATACTCCAACTGAAAAAAATGCAATGTTTTATATGGTTACATTTTATTTTGATGGTCCCCTTAATCAATCGACTATAAGCAACTTTGCAACTACATGCCAACTAACTCTCATTAGAGTATTAGTATGCTCAAGAATGGTAGAATCTAGTATGGTAGAATAAGTTGACGTACTTGCAAAGACACTTA